GCTCTTGAAATGATTCACTAACAGTATTCTTCCGTTATCCTGAGCATGCAATTATTTACAAATGGATATATGAAAGTTTTACTTTTATCCAAGCTGTAGCAGCGCTCTATCTTCCGGCCTGCTCGATTTATTATCCAAGTATGGAAAATAATATCTCTATTTAGTTTGTAAACTTATACAATTTTTCATGGAGCCTGCATACTAGGAAGACTGATACATTTTCTCTTTTGCTTTATTTGATTGAAACAAAACGTTCCTTTTCGACTTCTTATCTTATAATCATCTGCAAGATAAATTTAAAATAAAATAAACGACTATTTATCCTATTTCACCCTGGATAAGAATACCTTTTGGGAAGCAGGGCTGAGGGAAATTAAATAGTATTTTAAAGCCTTTTTCTATTATTGTTGGAAATTCATCTATTCGTACCTTATCACTTTATGAGATCTAGGGTGGCTACAGCTCTTATTCAAAATCTACTACTAGTTTCGAAACCTATTCGAACTGAACGAAGTAACGCCCAGACGATGAAAGACGTGCTTTTAACGTTTATCCTGTCCAATTGCATATTTAAATACCTCATCTAACCACATCTACAATTATATTTTTCATGCAAAAGATATTATCTGGGGTACATGAACTTTAGCTGTGACACTTGAAGACGAATCAATACGGCAATTTACTATTCAAATCTTATACATATTCTTTGAAACATTATGGAGATTTAAATATTCTATTCACTTCCTACACTGTGAAAATGACTAAGAAAATTGGAGCGATTGCTTTCACTATTCCGCTTTATCCCAATTACCCGATAAATGTATCAGCAGCAAAAGAAAAAACATTGATACGAAGACCAAGATGTTATTGCCTCCATTTTGGTCGCAGTCTCCTTTCGATGCATAGTAGTTGCTTGATCTTGTTTTCGCAACTTGGTTATATCGGCAGGAAGACCTTGACGAACGCACCTTGCCCGCAGTTCATAGTATACACGATAATTTCCAGAGTCGGACTGTGGACTTGGTACATTCTCAGACGTTTCGCCGGCATCGTAATCGGCATCATCAGTGAGTCTTGCCATTCTCAGCACCAAACTACAAATCGTCAAAGAAACAAGTGAAGTCAAGGGAAAGTTAGTCAAGGGATTGACTTCACTTGTCTCTGACTCGTAGTTTGGTGCTGAGAATGGCAAGACTCACTGATGCTGCTGACTATGATGCTGGCGAAACGTATGCGAATGTACCAAGAGTCCATGATCCGACTCTTGAAATTATCATGCAAACTATGGACTTCAGACAAGGTGAGTTCCTCTAGGTCTTCCTGCCAATATGACCAAGTTGCAAAGATAAAGTTAAACAACTAAAATAAATATTAATTTAATAATTAAGTGACATATGAACTACTTTCTCGAATTTAATTTATTAGACATGTACAAAGATTGTTATTTCACTCTTTGGAGATGATATAAGCCTTGGTGTATTGATTATAATGGACAAAGTTCTAAGTTAAACTGTTTTATTCAAATTCCTTGATGATTTAAAACAAAAACAGCTGTGATATTTGGCATGATTATAATATCTAGATTTAAGATAGGATTCTTGCTTTGAAGATACCTATCATAAGACAGACAAAAACTCAGCGTTGATTCAAAAAAGTTCGGTGATGGTGAGCCGCAGACCTCATAGCTCAGATCAACCATCTGATGAATGCACATGACAAGCCAGGGACATGATTAGTCATCTTTTCGGTCATATTTGTTTAAGAGAAATAGGGTACAGATAATCTGGTCATAGTGGATTCCTAGAAATCCTGCTTCTTGACCATCCTTAAAATCCTCATAAATCTATTTGCTTACATAAATACTATTCTGTTATAATGCTGATTACTTGTTATCATGCCCTAACTAAGTAAATTCCCACCCTATGGCATGTACATGCACACTTCAGTTCCCTCGTTTGTGTTTGCTGTACAGCCGACGAGTGACCGTCTTAGATCCCTCAATGCAAATCAGCTTCTTCTCAGCCTCAGCCCTCGCCATAATACAGCAACTTCGATGGCACCTCGTCTAATCTCGCCCTCGGTCAACGTATCCGACTGCCAGATTCAGCCCCGCGGATCGGGTTCTCTCATCCCTCGTTCCTTAAACAGTGAAGCTACAACTGGGCCAACTACTTGCCCAAAGACTTTAACCACCCCCATTTCCATTGTCCAAGCACCTCCAGTAAGTAGCTCGATCTCTTCCGCTAGCCATGGTTTGTTAGTTCATTGGAAAAAAGAAAAGATGCGCGAATCCGTGGGCGAAGCCGATGATGGGCCAGATGGAGCCGAAGATATGATATCCAGAACGTCCTTTGAAGTACATGCCCGCAAGGAGACAGAATCACGGGTCCCTGCTCTTGCCCCACCTATTTTTGATCAGCATGATTCTTCCAATTGCCACAAATACGACCAATTAAACAAGGATTGCGATTCCAATCAAGAACACCGGCTACAACACTATCAATGCCAACAACAGCAAAACCGGCAGCACAGACCCACACAGCAGTCGTCGAGTGTCGCTAATTCAGAAGTCCTTGAGCCTGCCCACTTAAGCCAGGCCCTAGCTTTTGCCACTGGTGATGACATTGAAGTTCAGCAAAAGCTGCGCAAGCGGAAAGCAATTTCTGAAGCAGAAGGTGAGCCAATGCACACAGCTTTCTTTAGACATTCAGCTATAACATCCCTCCTGAAAATATATGCCTTTTCATTGAAATTTATCTTCAATGCCCTCCTCATCATAAATAGCGCGGTTTGTTTGTAACTGTGACAGATTGATTTTTTTGGAAGTGTACTATTGGAAACTCGTTTTTTATTGGACTAAAAGCGAATTTGCCGACGATGAATTGAAAATGTTGCTAGAATATCAACTCTTGCGGGATTCGAACGTTTTGTTGAGCCTATTCAAATCAAGTTGAATTCACATTTGGCAGTCGGCACGCAAAAGACTTGGGCATAAGAAAGTCATGGACTTGGTATTAGGAATAGAAGAGCGAGAGAAACGGCGGAGACCATTGATTTTTGGCTATTAGTAGATAAGCTTGCTCATAGACGTGGCCCATGAAGTAAAGGCTTGACCACGAGATTTACTCGGTGCACATGCGGCACAATGATAAGGGAATCTGCAGCGTCAGGTTAGTTTGTCATGTCAATTGAGAATCCAGACTTTAGGAGCTTGTTCAGTGAGGCTTGTGTATACGTGCTATCAGAGGCTTGGGGCAAAGTGTAGAACATATCATCTTTAGTTGCACATATACGGTGGCAGCGATGAAGTGAAATAACTGAACCAAGCCGATAAGGGAAGGATCATACGGAGCAATAGGGGGACTCTGATGGGACCCGAAGGGAGAGGATTGCATATTGAACCGTAGCCTTGGATCAACTCTCTCGGTACAATAGGGGGATGTGGGAACCAGCAGGGAGTGTGTATAGGTTTTAAATAGGCTTAGGTAAACAAGTAAGAGCTTGTGATATTAAAGGGGTGATACGAAGATATAGGATAATTAAATACCTCAGGACAGATGGAGAGATACCATAACTGTTTAGCAGACAATTGGTCAAAGGCTCGACTTGATTTGTCTTTTTCACGAGTCGTAGTGTGATGCTAAGAATGGCAAGGCTCACTGAAGATGCCGATTACAATGTCGACAAAACGTCTGGGAATGTGCCAAGTCCACGGTCCGATTCTGGAAATTATCATGCATACTATGGAAAAAGTCCGTTTCTCTAGGTCTTCCTGCCAATATGATCAACTTGGAAAAGATGAGGTCAAACAACTAAAATAATAATAATTATATATATATATATATATATATATATCTGGCTGATGAAACGTATTCTCGATGAGACATCGCTCAAAAAATAATAAAATTAAACAAAAGGCGAGTTTAAAAAATGCGCAATTTGTTGTATTGTTCGATTTAGTATTAAGAATATCCTGAACGAGTTATGAATAAAGCCTGATTTTGCCTTTATATTTGACCATATTTTTTAATTCCCAATTTCGATTTCATTAAAGACTGGCCATTGCATCTCTAAGGTTCCATCACTAATCCGATGGGACGTTAAAGCGTGGAGGTCCCAAGATATAAACGCTTTACACTTAAAGGCAATAAGCATTAGATTAGCCTTGATTCTCGAGATTACATAGGCCTACTCAAATATATATTTTAGACTATTGCTTTTCCTCAACCCGTGAGTTCTGAGCTAGACTTCTGCTGGGGATGCTGGTATGGTTAGGCGATCTATGAGTTATAATCAGACTTAAAGCAGGGTCTAAATTTTGGTTGCTTTGGCTGCAAAATGACGCCTCCTTTTTACTTTACCAGGAGTAGGTTTATTATCCATTACTTCATATAATATATTTCTTAAACATACGATTTTTCAGAAGGTATGAAGACCAAGATGGTGTGGCCTTCTGTGTGGTCGCAGTCTCCTTTCGTTGTATAGAAGTTGTCTGACCTTGTTTTCGCAACTTGGTCATTTTGGTAGGAAGACTTAGAGGAACTTACCTAGTCCGGAGTCCATTGTATGCATTATCATTTCCAGAGTATGACCGTGGACGTCGTACATTCCCAGACGTTTCGCCGGCATCGTAATCGGCATCTTCAGTAAGTCTCGCCATTCATAGCACCATATTACGACTTGTCAAAGAGACAAGTGAAGCCCATCCTCTGGCCAAACGTGTGTTAAGCAGTTATGGTGGTGGGCTATTCACATTTCTTATATCCTCATATCATGCCATTACTGCCATAATTTTTACCCTGCTTATTTTTAATGTAGTGTGGTGTGCTCCTTCGAGCGGCATTCATGAAAACCCTTCACACTCCACGCTGTTGTTACCACCCATTCACCCTTGTGCTGGGAATGTTGACCCCAGTCTGTCATATTGTTACGTACTCCTTCCCTAGGTCCTATCAGAGTCTCGCTCTTGCCCGTAGAATCTGTCTGCTATCTCCCATGTACATGCATATGGAGATAGCAGACGGATTCTACGGGACAAGAGGGAGACTCTGACAGCACCCAGGGAAGAACTACGTAACAATATAACAGACTGGTTAACATTCCCAGCACAAGGGCGAAGGGGTGGTAACAACAGCGGGGAGTGTGAAGGGTTTTCATGAATGCCGCTCGAAGGAGCACACCACACTACGTTAAAAATAAGCAGGGTAAAAATTATGGCAGTAATGGCATGATAGGAGGATATAGGAAATTTGAATAGCCCAGGGCAGAAGAGGTGATACCACAACTGTTTAGTACACGTTTGGCCAGAGGATGGGCTTCACTTGTCTCTTTGACAAGTTGTAATATGGTGCTACGAATGGCGAGACTCACTGACGAT